CCTGAGGCAGATAATCTTGTGCACTCATCTATCATTTGGAGAGGCCTGAATGGTGAGTGCTGATCCTGAGGAGCTTTGTTTCCAGAATCTGAAAATTTAAACCCGTTAGAACGCAAAATCTCTAGTGGGTCAAAGCATTTGAATGGGGCAGTATTGGTGCCTCGAAGAAAGAGATGTCCTGGAAAGTGGTTGAAGGCATTGTTGCCACCTGACGGCGAATTGCTGTTCCAGGTATCAGTCAGGAGAATTCAGTAACAAAAATTATCCGCGAGGAGAAGAGTTTCAGCGATTAGAGGCTTTCCACTCCTCGAATTTATAGAAATCAAATTGTAGAATTTCGAGAAGAGGGAAACCATTTGCCTAGCATATCATTTTATTTTTTTAATTTTTTTTACTATAGGAACCAAGTTTAAAACAGAAGAATCAGGTTTTGCAAATTCCAACAAGGCCATTGGATGATCCCTGAGAATTGAACCTGATAACTTTAAACATTTAAGATTTGGTAAGAGTTCCTCCATGTTTCTTGGTAGTTTCTCTATCTTCCCACATAATCTCAAATCTACAAGGCATGTGCAATGACCAATTGCCTGCAATGAAGTAAAAGATTGATAAGACATCAACGTAACTGATAAAATTTGAAGGTTTTCAGTTACGCGCCACCTAATAAATGAAACGACAAAAAGGAGAGTTTTGTATGTAATGTCCCCAATGTTCACTACATCCTAGGTATGAGATGAGATCTAAAATTCTTTAAAGGTGACTAATAATGTTAATTGTTGATATATGTGAACGAAAATATTCGCATAGATATCTTATCCACTATTTAGGACCTCAAATTCAATTTCAGTTTTGTTGCCCTTATGACTTTAAAAAAATTATTTCGTTTAGAAAGTAGAGTTAGAGTAAGGTTAAGTTATGATATGATTCATGTCATATATCTTAACTAATAGACTTTAGTTTTAATACATTTTGCGATATTTAGGTACTCAAAGCTATGCATAATTTCAACATTAGTAAGTTAGGTTGCTTGCTTTCAGTAGTCATCTAATTAACAAGGCAAACATGATTACAAATTACACTAGAAACAATTGGAAAATACATGCATTTGCTAAAACTAGAGGAGAGTCAGTTTGGAAAGCCGAAGTTCAAGGCTCCAAATCTTTAATATCTATTTAATTTATTGAATGAATACCTAAAATTATTCTTTGAAATGAAACCATGAAATCTCACAGGGTTTACTCTCAATCTCAATCAACATTCAACATAGTTGCAAGAAACAAGGGAAGTGAAGAATACTAAAATTTAATTAATATGGTTTCAAATTTTCAAACTCCAATATGAATTCTCACACGGTCATTTTTATTTCCATCCAACAACCTCTGTACTAAATTATATTTAATAAAATATTAAACTCAAACTGGAGTACTGGGACACCCTCCTTCAAGGCTAACCTAACCAAACCCATTTTTTTTCCAATACTATTTTAAATTCGTCTTTTCCTCAATGTCATTTTATGAGGTTGTCCATCCTAACTCCTAAATCTCTCCAGTACACGGCAAGTCTCTGGCCTCCATATTGTTTGTATGTTAGTGAAAAAGTAAATCAAAATTCTAGTTTGCATGAGGATAAGCGCGTATAATTTTTTTGTTAAGATGTATAACAAAATTCTACGCGGCTATATCAGGATATTTCCCAACCTTATTACCTAACTTCAGCTGAAATTATGCATAAGTTTTGAATACCCACCAAACTATTGAAATTAAAGTCTACCAGTTAAGAATGTTGCATAAATTATGTCATAACTTAAACCTCACTCCAATTCTATTTTCTTAGAAAGAATTTCTTAAGGTCATAAGATATTAACAAATTGGAATTAATCTTTGATTAACATATAAATACAATTAACTTGTGAGAGGAAATTATGCATAAGTTTTTAATCACATTTATTATATGGTGGGACTGAATGCTTTCTATTTGCTACTTTATGTTTTCCACATTTGTTCATTTCAAAGCAATAAATTATATGAATCACAAACTCTGTCTTACTGTGTATGAATTGTCCCATTCAATTCATTTATTATGGTGGGGGCAGTTTGAATATTCAAAATTTCCACATGCTTTGTATAACCAAGCCGTAATACTCACCCAACAACAATGACCAAGCCCAAATACTTATCTCTGAACTTCTATATATTGTGGTAAGAGATATATTAAATTTTATATCCTCCTCACTCTCATTTGTTTTTCTAAGAGGAATATTCTCAACCTTCATCACGAGATCCTTCTTCAATCTGCTCATTGTTTTTCAGTCCCTGCTCTTTGTTATATCATTTTCTTATACATGTAACCCATTCTTCTTCTTCTTCGGAGCAGCCATTGCGCCACAATGATTAAAGTGATGCCTTGTTTCAATTTAAGGAAAGCTTGATCATGACGCGTCTGCTTCTACTAAACCTTTCGCTTATCCAAAAGTTTCTTCATGGAAGCTCCATGGAGGAAATGATATTGTTGTTCCATGGGATAGTGTAGAGTGGTGAGCAAATTGGTCACGTGATTGGCCTAAACCTTCGTAGCAGTTGGTTTTATGGTTCTTTCAACTCCAATAGCACCCTTTTCCACCTTTCCCATGTTCAAAAACTTAAATCTTTCTATAATCATTTTAATGGTTCTAATATGACATCAAAAGGCCCAAAAAAGTCTTGCTTTTCATGGAAACTGCGTTGCAAGGGACAACAGTGACAAGAACAGGAAGGGCAGGATGAGTCAGATGCCCCGTTGACACCAGCCAAGAACAGAAGCTGAGGTTGAGAAAGAACCCGTGTTTGAGAAGCCTTAACTTCGAGAGACGTGGGGAGGCTCAACGTTAGTAATAACCAAACAACACGTGGAGAAATACTTCCACTCGGCGGCGGTGACGACGCAGGTGACAAAAGGTTGTTACTGAGTTTTGAGAATGAGTGGGAAGTGCTGGAGTTTTCGTATTCATATATGAACAGTAGCAAAAGCTACATGTGACGAAAGGGTAGCGCAATATGTGAAGAAGAAGAGATTGATGTCGACGATATAAGACTTATGAAACTGCTAGGTCTTGCAACGTAGTTTCCTCGAAAAGTAAGACTTTTTTCAACATTAAAATTATAACAGAAAGATTAAGTTTTTGAGGGTGGGAAAGGTGGAAAAGGGTGCTATTAGAGTTGAAAGAACCATAAAGCCAACTACTACTGAGGTTTAGGCCAATCACATGACCAGTTTGTTCATCACACTCTACACCATCCCATGAACAACATCATCATTTTCTCCATGGAGCTTTCATGAAGAACTTTTGATAAGCAAAAGGTTTAGTAAGCAGACGCGTCAATGACAAAGTTTTCCTTAAATTGAAAAAAGCATAGCTTTCATTATTGTAGCACAACGGTTGCACCAAAGAAGAAGAAGAACTAGTAAACAAGAACGAGGGCAGATTGAAGAAGTATCTCATGATGAAGCTTCAGAAGATTACCTTAGAAAAACAAATTTAGCATATCTTTTACAATAACATAGAAGTTTGGAGATGGATCAATAATTATTATATGCAATATATGCTTGCTCCTTTAACGGTAATTAATGTCAAGTTTTTTTTTCAATTTTTTTTCTCATTTCCTCGTTCCGTCGTGATACCTATAATAAACAAGTTTTGAAGGCTATTAGGTGCTGGCTTTTTGGGGCTGTTATTTTGGTAATTTGTTCTATAAGGGATAGGCGTTATGTGCAGGCTGTTAGGTCCTGGCTTTGGTTTAAATCTGTTAATATTTCAGCTGGAAATTGTATTATTTGTAATATCTAAAGAGAGAATGTTATTTTGTTAGACCTGAGGGGAAATTGTATTTAAGTCGTGAATACCAGTAAAATTCTGAAGGGAAATCCATCAAGTGATGGCCAGTGAAAAGAACTGCAGCAGGGTATTAATTAATATGTTACGTTTTTGCCTTCATGAAATTAATGCTTGCTCTGAGACGTGATGAATGATTTTTCCAACCTTCCTTCGACGGCTTACTCCGACATTAAATAATTTGTGTTAAGACTTCTTGTCCCCATTGGAAAATATTGCTTTGAGACGTGATGATTGATTTTTCCAACCTTCCTTCCACGGCTTACTCCGACATTAAATAATTTGTGTTAAGACTTCTTGCCCCCATTGGAAAATAAACTGTGAAAATTGTATTAAGTCTGAAGAGTTATCATGTTTTAGTCAGTCTTTATAATATGTATGAGCTATGATAATTGATTTAGGCAGAGCGACTTACACCTACCCAAGGTTTGAAAAAACCACAGATTGATATCTAAAAGGTTTCAAAAAGACTAATAAGTACCTTTCGGTGAGGAAAAGACTAGAATACCATTTGAGAAATATTAGTCTATTTGTTTAGTTACTTTTAGACTCCTTAGGTTTATTAATTCCGTCAAATACCCTCAGAAAAAAGTTTAAAAATTAACAAAAACACTCTCACCCACCCATACTTGCTAGATTTCGACGGCCACCACCGGTGGTAGTCGAAATTTGTCACAACGGTCTACGCCACCATCGGAAATGGTCGGTAGTTCACCGATCTGGTCTTTTTCGGCCAGATCCACCACAGATCTGACCGAAAAAAGTCAGATCTGACGTGAGAATGCCAGATCTGATCGGAAAGTGACGGCCAAAGATGTGGCCATCGTTGTCTGTCAACAATGGCCAAGATATGGCCGTCGTTTTCATATAAAATATAAGATGTCAATTAATTAGATTTATAAAGTCTAAATCTAATAAACCAAAAAAATATAGGCAGAGAAAACCGAATCAGAATTATGAATATGTAAAGTTTATTATTCACAATTTATGTCAAATTTAAGAAAATAATAATAATAATAATAAACTAATCTAATTACTAAATTGGACAAATGCCCTATTTAGTAATTAGCAATTACTAGTTTAAAAGAAATAATATATACTGTATTTTAAAATTTTTATTGGGGTTTAGAGAAATTTAGTGAGGTTTAAATAACACAACTAAAAAAAAAAAAAAAAAAAACATGGAGAAATCGAGAAAGGAGAGAAAATAGGTTTTTTCGGCTTCAAGATCTCACAATCCAAAGGTGAATCTTACTCCAATTTCAATGAAATTTGAGTTTAATGATGGTCGTTATTTCTTTTCTTGTTTTGATTTATTGGTGAGAATACCCAAATATTTTAGTTTGATAAGATTTGTTGATATCAACTTTTGAATGAATAATTTTATTTAATAATATAGCCTAGTTCTCTCGAGGGAAGAATTTTGTTGTAACCCATCAATTGCTCACGCTTTGGCTGGTTGATTTCTTACGTTTTTTATTCCTGTGTTGGATATTTAGCTTTGGGTTTCTTGTTTCTGTTTGGTTCCCAAGAAAAGAAAAATACGGGAATTGAAGAATTTTATGGAACATGGGATTATTATGACTTTATTGTTAAGTGTGGATTGTTGTGTGTTCGTTAGTTTGCCTTTAAGGGAGCAAGGAGAGTCATTCAGCGTTAAGAAATTTTGGTGGTGTTGTGTGTCTTGGTTCTTCTTCGATTTGCTTCCATTCTCGTTTGGTTATTGGGAAAATGAGGAAAAATTATGTAAATTAGATTATATGAAACATTGATGATTCATTATGTGGTTCCTTTATTTCTAACTCTTTCAATTTTAGGTTTGTTGTAAATTTTCTTTGCATGTAGTTGCTTTCTGGCGAGTGAAAATCCGCACAATCTGATAATCTGACTATCCTTTTGCTGTTTTGTTGAAAACTGGTTTTGAGTCTTTAAATTCTGTTTAGTTATGGACAGAGTTAACGATGATAATGTTTGGTTTTCAGATTGTTTTCAATTGATTTGATTAAGAGTTTGGGATGGTTGGTTATGGACAATTTGTTGCATATGGAGTCTGCAAGAGTCGTTTCATTGAGTAATGGTAGTCGTTCTGAGGACAGATCAGGAATATTGCTAGTGGAAAATGGTCATTATGCTTCTCCGTGCGGTTTACCCAAGTATAAGCGGCAGAGAGTTTCTGCTGTTCGGGATTTTCCTCCAAGTTGTGGACAGTTGACACCCAATAGAGATACTGTTGTTGGTATAGTTTGCCCCGAGGCAGATAATCTTGTGCACTCATCTAATCATTTGGAGAGGCCTGAATTGGTGAGTGTTGATCCTGAAGGTGCTTTGTTTCCAGAATCTGCAAATTTAAACCCGTTTGAACGCAAAATCTCTAGTGGGTCAAAGCATTTGAATGGGGCAGATATTGGTGCCTCGAAGAAAGAGATGTCCCTGGAAAGTGGTCTGAAGGCATTGTTGCCAGCTGACCGGTGAATTGTTGTTCTCGCTTAAGCGATCCTTTGTATCGGTTAAGCGATTCTTCGCTTTTACTCTTGGTCGCTTAAGCGAGTAAAAGCGACGAATCGCTTAAGCAATCTTAGATCTGGTTAGATCTGGGCAGATGTTGATTCTGCTCGAAAGAGATCGCTTAAGCGATATTAAATCGCTTAAGCGACCAAGAGTAAAATCGACGAATCGCTTAAGCGATCTTCTATATCGCTTAAACGATTCGTCGTTTTTACTCTTAAACGATCTGAGCGATTTCAGATCGCTTAAGAGATCTTGTATGAGGCAGAATCATCTGCCCATCGCTTAAGTGACTCTTCCGGAGCGTATTTTGTTTATATTGGATTTGGTTTAATTTTTTTGCTAATATTTTGTTTATATCGATTGTGCAGATTTTCCGAAGCGTAAACTATAGAGAGTACGGATTGGAGTATATAAGCGATACGGTTCCGTACTTTCCTGTGAGAGTGACAGTGAGATCAAGTTGGGATGTTTTAACGAGAATAACGGGGATTTTAGGAACAGTGAGGAATGGTGAAAGGAGATTCAAAGAGACTTGTTTCAGTCATTTTTGGCATATCGACACAAAATGGAAAAAGACATTCTGGGGGTCGGGGGTGCATTATATGTTGCTGCACTCAATAAAAAGCAATAAAAAACACGAAATGTGGTTCGTGGTGGATGGAAAGCCACTACGTTTCGGGATGATGGAATATGCGTTGGTAACTGGCTTAAGATGTGGGGAATTGCCAGGTGAGGTTGAGGAAAAAAGAATAAAGGACAGTACGGCAGCCAAAAGGTTGGCTAACAAGGTTTTGGCGGGGAACACGTCTATTAAGGCACAAGAATTAGAGGACAGGTTAAAAGATGGTGAGTTTAACGATTCAGAGACGTTCAAACTATGCTTGGTATTGTTCTTACATTCGATCCTAATGGCTGGTGACTCAACAAAAGCCGTTGATATTGATTGGGTGAAGTTTGTAAGCAACTTAAACTTCTTTAATGCTTATCCGTGGGGACGGGTATCATTTAAGCGAACTATGAAGTCCCTACAGGCAAAAGACCTAGCGTTAAAGCACTCCCAATGGGCTGAGAAGAATCGAGCGGCCACGTACACTTTGTTTGGCTTCCCATGGGCAATGCAGGTAAATATTAATAACTTTTTGTTATATTTTTTTTAATATATGTGTTTGAATTATGATATTGACTTTTTTTTTACAATGTAGGCTTGGATGTATGAGGTCATCCTTGTCTTGGCTAAGGCAGGGGGGAGGATTACGACTTCGGTTGTGCAACAGACATTTCCTAGGATGTTGCGGTGGCACGATCAGAAGTGTACCCATTGGGATTATAAGCAAATAGAGATTGAAATTCAATCAGCTCGGGTAATATTAAAGGATTAAGCTTTTGAATATGCACTTGCTTTAAAATGTCGCTTAAATCTGATTGATTTTGTTTCTTATTGTAGGGGGTTGTCTATCCCTTCCTCACCGCTACTGGGGGTGAAGCGCAACATCATTATGTCACATCTTTTCGAGCACTAGCGGATCAAAGGGATGAAGGGATAGACCGCCTGACGCGGGACCTACAAGGGGTCACACATGTGAGGGCAGTTGCAGGGCCACTGCCTAAGAATGTGGTTGACCCCGAGGAGGATGAAGCCACAATCGATGGGAGGGAGGAGGAAGGGAGGGAGGAAGAGGTTCGTATGCCTCAGCAAACCGGTACAACAAGTACCGCTTTGCCGAGGCGTCGGGGTCGGGAGAGTGAAGTGGTTGACCTCATAAACAGTTTGTTTGATAGTTTTACAATAGCTGTTTATGGCAGGTTTGATAAGATGGAAGAGCGGTTGAAAATGGTGGAGGAGAAAGTGGATAAGGTGACAAAGAAAGTTGTTAGGGTGGAGGAGGAAGTTGGTAGGGTGTAGGAAGAAGTTGGTGGAGTATTGAAGGCGGTTGAAGTGTAACCTGGGCTAAAAAGAGAGTCGAAAAAGCAGGTTTGTGAAATCATTTTACACCGTATTAACACGTGAAATTAAGAGGAAAACAAAGAAATAAATTGAGGAAGAAGCCAAAATTGAGGGGGTTAAAGAGGTTGGTGGAGGAAGTAGGGCAGTTATAATGGAGGAGGTTGAGGCAGGAGGCGAAGGAAGCGGGGATGTACAAATGGAGGAAGGGGGAGGAAGCGGGTAAACAAAAATAGAGTCCACTGTCAATTTGTATAGGCCCATAGAGAAGGAAAAGAGAAAACCCTTCTATACCTATTACAATGAATTCGGAAGTGATGCCCTTGTAAAGTGTAAGATCGAGGATTATTCTTGGGATTGGTTTGAAAAGATTTTGACGATGGGTAGCTGGCTTCATGACTCGGTGAGTTATTTTTGCTTAATTTTCCTTATTTTTGCTTATGTTTTCCATGAGGTATTGTATACTTATCATGTTGTTTTTATTTGATGCAGCACATCGATGAGGTATTGGCACTAAAGAGGCTGCGACAAACCAACAATGGTGATCTACTGTATCCCAATTGTGCCATCACCGATGTGGCATTTGGCCAAATGCTAGTATCGACATATCGCAATTTATTGAAAAAGGCCATTGGTACATCTGTAGCAAAAGGAGGCAAGCGAAAACGATCAGGCACAGAAGACTTGGACTGCGTCCCTAATGATTTTAAGTTTGATGACAAGATGATGCAATATGTAATGGGTGACAGGCCCAAATATGGTCACAGTTGGGCAAAGGTTAAAAGTGTCTATTGCATCATCATGGTCAAGGAAATGCACTGGATAGCAGTCGTCGCGCTCTTAAAGGAGAGGTTGCTAAAGATCCTTGACTGCAACCCAATAATCTATCGAGACAGGCAGTTGGAGGCCGAGTTGGAACCATTGTCCGTGTTATTCCCGCGGCTGTTACACGACAGCGGGATGTTTGAGCACCTTGGTGGTGAAGCATTGATAGGAAAGTTGCCACTCAAGCGCGTTCTCGTCCCAACAAATAAGTCAAGGTAAATTTTGTATAAAACTAACTTACATAATATAATTGTTCTATAAGCTAATTCTAATGCTAATGTCATCTTCCTATTGCAGTGCTGATTGTGGAGCATATGCCCTGAAATTTATTCAGTTCGACATGACCAACACCCCGATGGACGGATTGAATGACGAAACAATGACCATCTTTCGGGAGCGCTGGGCTGTTGAGTGCTTCCATGGGGAAATGGATCTGTTTTGAGTGACCACAAACCAATCAAAAGGTTTGGAACTTGGACTTTGAATTTTGTAATTTATGTAATAATGTTGATACTTGGGTTGTGGTACTGATGCTGCAGGTGTCATGCTTATACAGAGCTTTACCAAAATAAATGGACTCAGTGAACTTTTCAATCTTGCACTCCATAACTTGGGTTCGTGAAGAGAGAAAATTTTACTCCCCGGACATCCCAACTTTCCATTTAACAAATTGGCCCTGAAAAACTTTTTGTTTTTTTATTTTTTATTTTTTATTTAGAAAAGCTGACATGGCTGCAAGTGTGCTTGATAATTTTGCAGGTTGTTGGTAAACAATGAGAGGGAACTTCTCAAACTGGCTTGGGTTGTTAGAGTAGGATGCTAGCAAGGCATCTGCAATCAAGGCTAGTGGCCAGAAGGAGGCATCTGTAATCAAGGCTGTTGGCAAGGCATGGTACCAAACAATGATCTTGGATAGTGATTATACCGAATTTAAAAACTTCTCAAAGTGGCGGCATCTGCAATCAAGGCTGCTGGTAAGGCATGGTACCAAACAATGATCTCAGATAGTGATTATATCGAATTCTAAAACTTGTCAAAGTGGCTTAGGATTTATTCTGTTTTAGCACTATTATGAATGATTTTAAATTTAAACTTTCAATTACATTGATGTATCTTATATTTTGATCTGTGATAGATTATATTGATATAAATGACTTCATTTTGCTGCTTATTCTTTTCAGATTTGGGAGGAAAATGAGTGAGGTTTATTTCGAAATTAGTTCTATAAAGACAGATTGTTACATAATTCAGGAGAAATGTAGGATTCTTCTCTTTTTGTCATGATCGCTTAAGTGATATATGACCGACCACATATATCTCTTAACCGACCAAGATTTTTCCTCAAATGATTGCTTAAGCAATCTGCGACCAAGAGTAAAAACAAAGAATCACTTAAGCGATACTAGAGGATCGCTTAAGCGATCATAGATCTGGACAGATTTTATTTTACCTCGGAAGAGATCGTTTAAGCGATCAAGAGTAAAAGCGAAGAATCGCTTAAGCGATAGCGATCATAGATCTGGCCATATTTTATTTTGTCTCGAAAGAGATTGCTTAAGCGATTTAAGATCGCTTAAGCGACCAAGAGTAAAAGCGAAGACTCGCTTAACCGATACTAGAGAATCGTTTAAGCGATCATGATCTGGGCAGATTTTATTCTGCCTCGGAAGAGATCGCTTAAGCGACCAAGAATCGACGGGATGTGTCACAACGGCCTACAAACAACCGTCGGTGGTAATTAACCGATGTGGCTGTCATGGACGGCCAAAGAAATGGACATCGTTGACCGACAATGACGGCCACATCTAGCCTTAAAATACCAACACATATTAATTTCATACTTTCTCTTCAATTTGACAACCTAATTCCAAACTAAAATCACCAACCAATATTTAGGCCATGTAACAAGAGTACTAAATATAAAGAATGATTTATTTAAGATAACAATAAAATTTAAAATATCAATAATTGAAAACAATAACTCATCAACGGCTGGCCTTGGCAACTCCCTGAATTTCATCCTTTTTCGAATCTAATTTTTTGGATCTGCATGTGATTGCTTCTGGCAACTGTTTCTCTTGTGACCAGGTTGCTTGTAAATTGAGCACTTATTAATCTTTCAGGGAACCTCAAAGGCTGATGGAATACGTTTAACTCTTTTTCTCCCTTTTGTTGTCTTCTTGAATGGCGGCTGGATGATAATGTCAGCCAACTCTGGCGGCACTACCTACTACTCTTTTGGAGGCACTGGATATATCGTTTCTGAATAAGCTAGCATGTAGTGATTTTTCATATAGAGAGGGAAGCAAAATTCCATGTAAATTCTTGAACCAAAATCCGGCTTCCATTTGTGTTTCAGTGCTGCTAGTGTATGAAGACAAGGTAAACGTTGAATGTCAAACACTTTACAGCTGAAAGTTTTTCTAACACATCCAGACCATAGCCACGCACAGTGAACTCTTGAGCATTAAAAGGATAGGCAAACAATGCATTTGACAGTTCCATACGTTCTCGCAATAATTTTTAGTTGACAGAACAAGGGTTGTAGTAAAATTATCTGACTCCGTACGACGCTCATGGAACCACCGCGACAATGTCCTCTGGATTGCATCAAAAAGTGCAACTATTGGAAACTCTATTTCTATTAACAACTTCGAATTTATAGACTCGGTTATGTTCATAGTCATGACATCAAACCTTCTTCCAGGAAAGTAAGCTCTACTCCATCGCTTGAAACCAACATCATGCTCAAGATACTTAGCAACTCTATCATCCTTGATTCGGATTTGCTGGAAGTGCTCCTCGAACTCATTAACCCGATAAGCTTTTGCTATCATGTAGTATGTCTGAAGGAGGCCAGCACACTTAAACTTTTGTTTTATGTTCTGCCTCATAGAGAATCGATGATATGTTTAACGGTAAATAGTGGCAATCCCCTTCTTTATAGAGTTGTGTCTATCGAATATTATGCACAATTCGTCACTGTCAGGCACTATCGTACGTAATTGCTAAAAAAACCAAGTCCATGACTCATCATTCTTAGAGTCAACCACACACCATGCAACAAGATATGTGTGATTTTCGCTGTCCTATGCAATGGCCACCAACAATGTACCTCCATACTTTCTCGTCAGAAAGCAACCATCAATAGCCAACACCTTTCTCATGTTTACAAAACCCTTTATAGTAGAACCTTAAGCAACAAAAAAATATTTAAATATCATATTCCTATCCCACATAAAAGCCGTCTTGCTACCTTGGTTTGTCAACTCAAGCATATAACAGTACGCTTCTAATATTGTGTACCCGTACTCCAACGTGCCCCTTACAAAATCTTGTGCATGTTGTCTCCCTTTCCAGCATTTCCAGTAACTAATAGCACATCCCAACTCTGTGCGCACAAGTCTCTGAATGTCTGTAAGAGATGGACCTTTCCCTTTAACGAATCAACTTTTGACAAATTGTCCAATAACATCAGCGGACGCTTGTCGATGCTCACCTGAAATATGTCTCAAACCATATGTGTGCTCACGGGTATATGTGCTAAGAATAATTTTTTCCGACTCCGCCAATCTTCTACAATAAACCTGCTACTTGCACTTTTGATCGTGACATGCAACCGTCACAGCCAATGAATTTGACTTTTTGGTGATGAATTCAAAATTACCTCTCACGGCAACAAGTTTTAGCTTCTTCACCACTTCCTCTTTGTTGTCAAATAAATACCCTATACATAACTCCGATCCATCCGTAAAAACATGAGCTGATTCACTACTACCTCCAATTACCCCCTCTAAACCTGCATAAACGACTATAATGTTCTCTTCCTCACAATCTACGCCTTTTGCATAATCTATATTTAAAGGAATCTCTACATTTGTGGAAACATGTACGGGGTCCTCCTTCTTAACATTTTCATTCTGCCCCCCATCACCAACCTCTTCTACAGTGTCCTCCTCACCACCCAATTCACCGTCTACTCTTGATTTTTCAACTAACAAATCAATGGTCTCGTAGTTCAAATTAAAACCAATCAAATCTCCGCCTACTTCCTCGTTATCCCCTTCCTTTGAACCAACTTGCGACGGTTTTTGTACAAAAAAAAAAAAAACCCTTAAAATCAGCCTCGAACCATTATCGACCACATAAATCATATATAACTTCACATTTTCATCCGACTTTAATATAGCAGGAGGTACCTTATAATGTTCAGGAACTCTGCTTAAAACATACTTCACAACTATATCACTACACGAGCAACTCAAAATCACATCTTCTAATTATTTCATCAATCAACTCATTCAAACTAGCCTTTGTGCTCACAGCAATTGGTATAACTTCTTTGCTCTTCCCAATCCACTTCCAGTTACTTTCTTCCTCCACCCACTCACCAAAATATTCAACACCCAAAACAACTTTTCCTATGTGTAATAATAGCCAACTATCTGTAGTGCAAGAAAAAAAATATTCTTAAATGTTGTACTAAGGGTTCAAATATTTTAAAAATGATCTGCACAATCGCTTATATGATCTACTGTATCGCTTAAGCGATCATGGTTATTTATATGAGATTGCTTAAGCGATCTTGTGCCATTTACTGATCGCTTAAGCGATCTGCTCTTATACACCAGATTTTTACCAGATCGCTTAAGCGATACACCAGATTTTTACCTGATCACTTAAGCGATCTATCTGCTGCATTACCAGACCTACCAGATCGCTTAAGCGATCCATCATATCCAGAACACATTTTCCGTCTCTCCGCCTACAATCGGTGCTACCACCCCAGCTACCCATAATGCAAGACATTTTTCAACAAATTTCACTCCTTTAAACTTTCATTACATCAAACACAACCTAAACAACTAAATCAAAATCATATCCCAAACTCAATCCATCATTAAATCTTTGTAAATCAAAATATAAAATCAAAAGAGGAGATACACATACCTCGACGACATGTCACGGGGAGGAGGAAGAGGACAACGATGACGATGATCTGTGTTGGAGAAGATGTTAATGGCAGTGGAATGCGTTAACATCACGGGAGGAAGAAGAAGAAGGTGTTTGGGTTTGTTTGTAAGAATTTTGACTATTTGGGGACATATATAATTTTTAAAAGATTACACAATTATTCATTAATCCTAATTAACCCCTAATCATATTTAATTAAGCTTAATAAAAAATAAAGCTATTTAGTTAACATTTACAAACTACATAGCTTTTTAATTAAATTTTAACTCCAAATGTCCTTATAATAAACTCCCCCTTAAATAATTTGTGCTAGACTTCTTGTCCCCATTGGAAAATAAACTGTGGAAATTGTATTAAGTCTCAAGAGTCCTCATGTTTGAATCAGTCTTTGTGATATGTATGAGCTATGACAATTGATTTTCCAATACGGCAATATCATCAGGTTGAACCATTTTTCCAACTAGGTCCTAAACATCATATATTTTCATGAAGATTGATAAGAACTCACTGCATTATTATTGTAAATATATGTATATATATTACCTATATTATGAGGATAAAAACAAAGAATTAAATAAAAATAATTTATTAAAATAAAAACTCAACCCTACTCAAACTCTATAAAATCCTATTTTATCTCTAAATAAAATATTCTAAACCGCGGTGACATTTCATGTTACTGGATTTGATATTTCAGACAGAGGACCTGGTAGGGAGATCGTCTTCTCCAGCAAATGATTATGAGTAATGCTACATGTTCAAACAAATCTTACAAAGATTTATGTACAAACTGATGTGACACAAAATGAATGGAAGAAGGAATATGATGAGTTTGACTTTGTGTAGTAACTCTTCCATTCATTTTGTACCACATCAGTTTGTACACAAATCTTTGTAAGATTTGTTTGTACATCTAGTATTATTGAATGACTATATATAAAGATGACAACCACAGTGATGTCATCATGAAAATGCCTCCCAAGTCCTAACTCCCTTATCAACCTGCTTCAGTTGTTTGTATGTCATCTCCCTTGTCCTTGCTGCTATATCTGAAGTTGTTAGCACAGCCCGACAGAGTAATATACTGGAGAACTATAGAGATTAGAGAAGCACCAAAAAAATCTGATTGC